TGCGAGCTTATACTTCTCTCGCCATACTCTGTAATTGCCCCCTTCTAGGGGTGGTATGTGCGAGATGAATGCCATTTTGTTGAGTCCTAAAAAACATTGTCAGAGATAGTGAGAAAATATATATATCATTATAATTGCATGCTTTAATTTAACGTTGGTCAAAATTAAAACATACAATATTCTTATACACTAATTCTACATCACCGTTGGGCAGAAATAGAATTAATGAATGAAAAGTTTATGATTAAACATTATAATATTGCTATTATCAATGTTGGTCAAAAAAATAACAATATTATAATTTACTAATTAAAATTTGACTACTCTTCAAATTAAATTCTCCCGTTGGTTCGAATTTAATTAGAAGATTATTAACTTTAATATTGCAGCGGAAACATGAAAAATTCATAATTATCTACTTTTTAGAAGCATATTCATATTCATATCTACTTTGTGGAAAAAAGTAACACATTGGTGCAATTTTACCAGAAATTTTAAACCTTCGAAATTCATCAAAATTCATTCAAATCTGCTTTTGAAAATAAATAAATTCCAAACTTCTTTCGTTGTTCATTCTGGCCCGGCCTGCAGCAGAAGAAGAAACGGCCAAGCAAAGACGACGTCCAACACAAATACCAACAGTAGCCCAAAGCCAATTCAATGAAGAGTCACGCTCATGATGCCTCCCCCGCGCCTAGGCCACAACCTGGGCCTGGGCCGGGAAAGTTCTCGCCCACCTAGGCCGATTCTGGCCCAATCAATCTGAGGCGTCCACTTTGATCCAATGGCCGAGCGATAATGTCGCTGGATCAACCCCCCCGACCATGGCTGCCCCTGAAAACCCTAGACATTTCTTTCTTCCCTTTCTCTCTCTCAGCGCAGTAGCTCTTAGCGCAACGAGCAACAATGGCGACCGAGCGACATGGCGCCGTTGCTGGCCCCTTCGCCGGTGCGCGCGCTCCCCACATGGGTGAGCGCGTCGCCGTCGAGCGGACTAGCGGCAGTGCCCTTGGCCGGAGCTCACGCAAGCCCGAGGAGCAACGGCGGCTCGACTTCTCCCCGCTCGTCGATGAGCCGCGGCGACGGAACTCCTTCCCACATGCCGGTAGGACACAACCCACGCGACGATGGTGGTGACGTGCGGCAGAAGAGTCTGGTAGGTCGTCCTCTCTTTCGTCCAATCTATTTCTTGGGTGAGGGTTTTCTAGGGTTAGGGTTTGAGACTGTTCTTCTTCCTCGAGATGATTTCGTGGGTTAGGAATCAACTTCTTGTGCCGAGACCCCTTTCTCTTCTCTGTGCTTCACCCGATTAGAGTTAGGGTTCGGTGACCCTCTTTTTTAGATCCGAAGATGAATCTATCACCTCCTTCTAACTGCTACTCGGTTTTCTCATCCGATAGGCTAGATCTACACCTACTTAGGCGTCTGATACCATTGTTAAACCTAAAGCAGGATCTCTAGGCATAAATCTAGCATAACTACTTGCACTTTGAATTAAACTGTGAGTCCTAGAAGCGTCTACTAGTACTAGATTAGAGATAGAATGAGAGAGAGGGGTGAAAAGGTGCAAACCATCGGCCGCCTTGGATGAAGATGGGCTCGCCATCGCAGTGCTTGGCGATGACCTGGTGGCGGTGCAGTAGCGGTGTCATCCGGGTCGGTGTAGAGGACGTAGGGCAGCCCGGCGTCATAGTAGTCCTCCGACGTGATGCAGAGGCGGTGGCGGCGCTTCCCGTCGCTGGCAGCGCCCCCTGTGTGATCGTTTAGGGTTTAGGACTATAGGTGGGGTGCTAGGTGGCTCAGGCGAACCTCATGACTCGAGCGCCCTGGCCCCCACCTCCTATTTATGGCGCTGTGCGATGGGGGCCCACCAACCATATTAGGGTTGGGCGCCCCGATCAGAGCGCAGATCTAAGGGCCCAATAGGCCGTTGGTGGAGATCAACTAACACATCGTGCTCAAGGCCGACCTGTCGTACCCCAACGGCATGGCGGTCAGTAGCGATAGGACGCATGTGGTGGTGGCGCACACCGTGCCGTGCTAGCCGTTCAGGTACTGGCTCAAGGGCCCCAAGGCCGGCTAGTACGAGCTCCTCACCGACCTGCCTGGCTACCCCGACAATGTGAGGCGCGACGCCAGGGGCAGCTACTGGGTAGTGTTGAACCAGGAGAAGGCACAGCTCGACGCGACGGCGCCTCCAGCAAAGCATCTCGTTGGCGTCTGGCTCGGCGTAGATGGCGCGGCGGTGGAGGAGCTGACGGTGGCCAAGGGTGTGACCCTGAGCGACGTCGCCGAGAAGGACGGACAACTGTGGTTAGCATCGGTGGAATTGGCCTACGTGGGCCTAGTTTAGATTAGTACAACACTAATTTAGATTGTAGGGGCAATAATGCACCCTAGTTTTTTTGAAAGGAATACCCAGTATTAAGATTAGAAGGTACTACTAGCTTTAGTTAGACTGCACTCCAATTTAGTAAACATCATTATTGTTATATTTGAAGCGGAGGGTGTGCCTCGATCTTATGTACAAACTTGTTTATGATTTTAGAGTTTAGATATAATAATATAAGCGGGAATTTCATGTGTTATTTGGGTTTATATTTGCTTTTGTGTTATGTCCAAGTTAATCCATAGCATAGACCATAGAGGACAATATTAACATAATACAAATATTATATTTATGATGTGTCATGTGTAATTGTGGATTGCTTGTAGACCTTCTTCGTAGCAACTCTTTTGCTATTGTTGCTCTACTATAAGTAAATTTTTCATCGAATGCTCCCAAAATCGTGTCATTGAGGAATCAATTGCGTAAAGATCGGTATCAGCTAATTCAAATGCAGTACTGGAGTCGGCTCTCTTCAGATAGTGCCAGCAGATAACGATAAAAGCTACAGTTGGCGTCAGGAAAAACATGTTGGACTCTGCAAAAAGGAAAATATTAGGGTCCAAGTTATCTTAAATTAAGAATGTTTTCTCTTGTGTCAAAGATTATAATGAGTCCTGCTTAAATAGGATTCATGCGTAGGTTCTGGGTATAAATATTGGATCCCGGCTATTGTAAGACACACAATCAATCAAATACAAGTTACTTACTTTTTTGGCTCCGGCCACCCCTTAGGAGTAGGAGTAGAGTAGATCTCGACGAGTTCTTCAGCGAGCAGGGCTGCATTGGTCCGGTCGACCTCTGGCTTGTCCGTAAGTACCATTATGGCTTATACTTCTGTTCGTATTGCTGCATCGATGCGATCGACCTCCACTGCGACTCTGGTATAAGTTAGTTGTCGACTCTTGTCTAGTTCAAGTACGGCTGCATCAATCCGGTCGACCTCCACTGCTCGATCTAAATCAAGGTCAAGTTATCGGCTCTATCTAAGGGTGGCGTCCTTCGGGTAGATTCATTAAGTTACCGATCTTGCTGATGTTTTCATTGTTATTAGTTTATAGCAACGTCAATTCGTCCGGTCGAGATCGAATTAGATCGACATCATATCCTTTAGATCCGTCGTTCGTTTGTTACAACACGATATTATCTACCTTGAACGACGGTTTATGTTTCATTGGTTGTTTTACTTCGATCTTGATCGTGCATAGTATGCGGTTAAGACATGCATAATCTTGAAGAGGTCTGCTGGCTAGTGGAATCTAGTTTATGGTTCACCATTTTGGCTGTAACGATCCGGTCGATCCCCACTGATGGCACTGTAGATTGGAGGATGCTAGTTAGTAGATTTGTTCCTGGTTAAGCGTGACTTTAGCTGTTTGTTATGCCTGCATCAGCTAAATACTCGATCGCGTGTGCGTTAATGCCTACATCATGTTTACATGATTTCGTTAAGCGTGAGTAGATCTGTGTACTTTAAGGATTTGATTCGTTGTCTTTTTCACGGCTGCATCGATCCGGTCGAACCCCACTGTTAGAGATAGCGGGTTGAGTCTGAGGAGTCTATATGTTTGTTAACGTGAAACAGTCGATTGTTCACACGTTGTAATTCTCTTCACCTGAATCGGCTATTTTAGCCGATTCATCCGAGCCTTCACGTATAGCATGTCTTTCGAAAAGTCTATTGAAGTGTAGATGGTTTTATGGATTCTTCGGTTTTAGTTTGTTATTATCATCATAGCTGCCATCGATTCGGTCGAACATCACTGTTGATGGTAACAGATTGGATTCAGAGCGTCTGTAGATCCGTTCATATTAGATAGTCGATTTGTTCGCGTGCTATATCTTTTATCGTCAGATTCATCGGCTCAACGTTTTACACTTGATAATATCTGGCCTAGCTGATGATCTTATTTACATATACGTGTACTGTACCTGTCAATTTAAAATCAATCGCTACCCACGAGCTTGACAGTCCGTAACAGCCGATTTCTGTGCGGATCGGCTATTTAGTCGCTTTTTCCCGTATGGCTGCTCCCGAAACGGCACACTTGGAACTGTCTGGGCACAGACCGGCATGTTCCACATTAAATTACTGATAAACTTTATCTCCTTATCAATTGCAGGATCAAATTGACTGGCATGTCTCGGGAGGAGTACGCAGAATCGACCATCCCTGCATTGAAGCCAAACGGATCTTCAGTTTCATCGAGCAGATCCTTCCGGCTTGCTCGTGTTCCCGGCACGATTGACACGTTTTTGTGCCGACAGTAATACTCTCTTAATGCAATAATTGTTCTGAGGAAAAAAAAGCTTCTAGTAGTATACTATTTTCAGTTTGTCAATGTCGTCTTTTGGCTAGTTAGTCTTATCTCACTGATTTGAAGGACAGTATAGAGATAACACTAGAATTGTTCTAAAAATTATCTGATTTTGCAAAATGTACATCTTAAAATGGCGCTGGAAATTAGAAATACGAACTCGAGACATGATGAAAATTTGCCGAAAAGTAGCTTCGCAAACAGAAAGTGCAGGGCAATCAGTGTCACAGCACAGGTGCCAAACTACAACCGCGGAAGGCGGCTACGCGTACACGAAGGGCACGTTAAGGCCCAAATCAGTAGACGGGCCTAAACTCGACGCCTTCGACAATGAGCCCGCGCTTCGAGTACCACCCCAGCACCTCGAAGCTCACCACCACCTCCTCCTCGCCGGCGACCGCGGTCTCCTGCTCGCCGCCGTCGCCGGGCGTGCGCAGCTGACCCATCTCCATCTCTGACCACCCGTCCTCCCGCAGCCTCGGTGGCCTTGTCTCCTCGGCGCCGGTGCCGCGGGAGACGGCCCTGAACTTGCGCGCCTCGGCCTCGTCGGGATGGAGGCACACGGCGTGGCGCGACGCCCCTGCCCCCACGCGGCCGGAGGCCAGCGCCACCGTCGTCTCCTGGTCCGGGAAGCTCAGGCCGCGGTGCCCGTCCGCCAGGCCGTAGACCAGGTACGCGGCGTAGCAGGTAGCCGGCGTCAGCTCGGCGACCGGGAGCCGGCCGTAGATGTCCAGCGACGTGCACTCGACCAGCTGGGCCACGTCACGGAACCTGAAAAATTAAAGAAACAATTGCGCGTACGGATTCTTGCATTCAGTTCTTAGTATAACATATAATCGTCAAATCAGAGTAATTAAGAAACCAATCGGATCAAAGATTAGCAGTCTAGATGTGTGTGTGTGTGTATACTACAGCTACCCACTAACTAATGCGAGTGACATTATAATTTTTTTTATGGTCTGATAGCAGATGCAAAGAGGAGACGGCACTGATGTCAAGTTGTCAACGTCGTCAAGCGAACACGAGGAGAAAATCTGTACATATTGAATTGTTTTTACCAACAGCATCTTGAAATTTAACCAGCAGCTCAGGTGTACGGCACTATCGAGAGCATAGTGCAAGCCGACAAGCTAGTAACCGTCCACCCTGGAGGTTGACCTGCTTGCTTGCAGACCCGTGCCGTGCGTGTGTCTATATCACTTGTTATTTAAGCGTAGTAGTAGTTGCGTTTGCCCGGCGTTGCCCGTAATTTCTACACGGTTTCAGTAATTTCTTTCTGCACGATGTGCATCGGCTGAAAGAACTTTTACATTCTGTGGATGCAATTAGTCCAAGACAGGGTTAGGCGACGTAACCACATCACATCAGCACTACGCATGTACTTGCCGTACAAGAACATCATGAACATGATAATTTCTAGAGATGATCTTTAACAATGGTTCTATGCTTGTGTTCCTTGTTAGCTAATCTACTGCCACCTTGTGAGAACATAGCAGGAGAGCGAGCGATGATGCTCTTAGTCTCTGATCGTGTGTGAACACAAAGAAAGGGAAGCGGGTGGCGCCGATTTTGTCCCCTCAACGTGATACAAGAGGCAGCTTGTAGGTGCAGTGCACCGCACGCAGCTCACCTGCGCACATTGTAGGAAGGAGCAAAGGTGGCCGCAGAAGTCAACCTCGTCGGTTATCTAGTTATCGTGCGCATGGGCGCGCACATGGACTAGATAGTTAGAGTTGTATAAATAGACATGTATGGCAACTCAAGAAAGAGAGCTCAGATTTGCCATCACACGAGCAGGGCTTCGCCAACGCTGTTGCCTTGTATTGTGCGTGCTTGCTCTGCTTCTCCCTTCCTCTTCTAGCTCGATTCGTAGTGTGTGGGTACGGACAACGCCGGTACGTGGTCTGCACGGCTAGTGGGTGCTTGGCAACACTAACGCGTGCTCGACGAGACCGACAAGTGCTCCACTCGCCTGAGCCGGTGTTCGGCAAGATCGGTTGGAGTGGTTCACTGTCGTGAGCCGGTGATCCTGTGAGACCAACAGAGTGGTCTGGAGGCTATCTCGGTGATCTGGAGGCTATCAGGTAGTGGTCTAGAGGCTGTGGTCGGTGGTCTGGAGATCATCTCGGTGGTCGGGAGGCTAACGTGGGCCAACAAGTGGTATCAAAGCCATTACAAGCGCCGCCGTCATTCTAACCGATGGCGATGGCGACAAAGCGTTCGGAGTTGGGCGATGGCGGTGGCAATCGCGTGGTTGCCCAGCCACTACCGGAGGTAGTTGTTCGCCGCAGTGCGGGAGGTCGGTGGCACCACTTGGCCGACGCCGACTCGCACTAACTATGGAGAGTGGTCGGTGACCATGAAGGTCAAGCTCGAGCCCGTCGGCTCAAATGCTGCTGATGACAAGGGCACCGACGTGGAAGAAGACGACATGTCGTGATGGAGGCTATCCTCGCCTTGTATGGCGGAGTACTGAGGAACCGTTGGGGACGAAGAGCTCGCTAAGGAGGCGTGGGAGGCCATTGCGGCGATCTTGCGTCGGTTCGACCACAAGCAAAGAAGGCAACGCCCCAACTTTCGAAGCGTGAGTACGCAAACCTCAAGTTCAAGGATGGTGAAACGGTGGATGACTTCTCCCTCCACTGCAGACGCCATCGCCAAGTCAAGAGCCACGGCATCACCATCGGCGAAGAGAGGCGGTCTCCAAGTTCCTCCACTCCGTCTTGTTTAAAAAGTACATCCGATCGCTCTATCCATAGAGACGATCTTGGACTTGTCCACCCTCACCATCGAGGATGTGGCGAGCCATCTCATGGGCGGTGGATGAGCGCCTAGGGCAAAGCGACAACAAACGGCGACGGCGAAACTCCTGCCGACGGAAGAGGAGTGGGCTGCTTTCGGTGAAACTCCGGAAGGCAGCCTCCTCCGGTCGCGGTGGCAGCGGCAAACATCGTGGCGTGGCTTCTTCGGAGAAGAAACAAATTGACTCAACGCCTGCCGGTTGTTGCGGGAAGATGGGCCATTGGGCACGGGGAGTGCCCAAATCGCAAGAAGGAAAAAGAAGGCTCGAGCTCACTGGCGAAAGCCGATGATGAGGATGAGGCCACTATCCTTATGGCGACGCTACGTGGTAATCGCACGCACGCCGAGGCCATGGAGAGGGAAGAGGCGACGACGGTGGAAGGATCTAGCAAGGCCACGAAGACCGTCAATCTCGACGAACCACGCGCCCAAGTCCATCTTGGGCATGTGGGCGTCGACCAGGAGCAGCGGTGGTATCTGGACTCTGGTGCCAGTAACCACATGACGGGCTCCAAGGACTCCTTCTCCGAGCTCGACGGCGATGTTACCGGTATGGTGAAGTTTGGTGATGGCTCAAGAGTGGCTATCCAAGGGCGCGGCACCATCATCTTCAGATGCCAGAATGGGGAGCACCGCGCGCTAACGGATGTATACTACCTCCGCAATGCGTTCCAAATCATCAGCATTGGTCAGCTGGATGAGCGCGGTAGCGAGGTTCTGATCAAGGACGGCATTCTGAGGATCAGATATCGGGAGCAGCGACTTCTCGCCAAGGTGAAGAGGTCCCTAAACCGGTTGTACCTGCTCAACCTGAAGGTAGAGCAGTCGGTTTGCCTGGCGGCAAGGCACTCCGAGGAACCGTGGATGTGGCATGCCCGGTTCGGACATCTCGGCTTCGGCGCGCTTGGTCGGTCAGGAAGATGGTCCGAGGGCTACCCCACATCAAACACGGAGACGAGCCGTGGTGACACCGCTGCCGAAGCGAGGAGGCTACCTTTCCCAAAGGCGCCAAGTATCGCGCGAAGGAAGCTCTCGAGCTAGTTCACGGCGACCTCTGCGGGCCGATCACGCGCTTTGCTACATGCGGTGGTCGGCGATACTTCCTCCTACTGTGGGACGATTGCGATCGCTACATGTGGTCGCAACTCCCGACGAAACAAGGGACGAAGCGGCAATGGCGATCAAGAAGTTCAAGACGCGCGCGGAGGCCGAGAGCGGTAAGAAGCTCCGTGTACTAAGGACTGATTGGGGTGGCGAATTCACTTCGGTGGAGTTTGCTACGTACTGCGCGGATCAAGGTGTGGGGCAACATCACACCGCTACCGCATTTCGCCACAAACAAGAATGGCGTGGTGGAGCGACGGAACGAGATAGATGGTCGGCATGGCCCAATCCATGATGAAGGCCAAAGGGATGCCGGCAAAGTTCTGGGGAGAGACGGTGACCACAGCGGTATTCATCCTCAACCGCGCTCCAACCAAAGCCCTAACGGGCAAGACGTCGTTCGAAGCTTGGTACGGGAGCAAGCCGAACGTGTCATTCCTCCGAATATTCGGTTGCATCGCCACGCCAGAAGACGAAACCGAACCCCACCAAGCCGGAGGATGAGAGCACACCCATGGTGTTCCCTGGCTATGGGAGGGTACCAAAGCGTCTCGGCTCTCTATGACCCACGCGGAGACAAGGTGGTCGTCTCGCGCGACGTTGTGTTCAACGAGGAGGCGCTTTTGGGATCGCACAGTCCGAGCACGGGAAGCGGGAGGCTTCACCAACACCTTCATCGTCGAGCACTTGGTCATCCACGGCGGTGGAGACGTTATGAACAGTGCCACGCACTCCAAGAGGAGCGCCGAGCACTCCGGCGGTAGAGTCGAAAGCACTTCTAGGGCGCGGCTGCGAAACTTCCGGAGGGGATGCCGAGCACTCCGAGAGCAATGTTGAGCACTTCGGAGGAATGCCGAGCACGCCAGAGTGGAGCCAGCGGGTTCTCTGATGGCGGCGACCACTTCAGGACGGGTACCGAGCACTCCCGTGGCGGAGCCAAGACGTCTTACTGTGCTTCCGACCACTCTAAGATCGAGGTGAGCACTCCTACAAAGTGTGGCCGAACACTGCAGGAGTTATGACGAAAGCGATCGAAGCGATCTGCGAACACTTGGTGCTATCAAAAGGCGAGGCACTCCGGCGGAAGAAGGAACTCCATCACCCCGATCGAGTTTACCTCACCTCCAAGTGACATCACCGAGTTCGTGGGCGCCTACCACGAAGGTGAGGAGTTAAGGTTCCAGCAAGTGGGCGACATCGTCGGCGCACACAGTCCCTCGTGTCCGGCGTGTAGGTCGCTTTCTCACGACGCAGAGCCGCTACTCGTCGGTCTGGTCAGAGGAACCACCCACGTTCGCGCTAGCCGAGCGTGATGGAAACTGGCGACGGGCAATGCTGGAGGAGATGAAGGCGATCAAGGAAAACGAGACTTGGCAGCTCGTCGATCCACCCCTAGGATGCCGTCCGATCAGCTGAAGTAGGTGTACAAAGTCAAAAGGGACGAGCTCGGCGCCATTGTCAAGTACAAAGCGCGCCTCGTCGCCCGAGGCTTTGTCCAACAAAGGGCATCAACTTCGAGGAGGTCTTTGCACCAAGATGGCGCGCATGGAGTCGGTCCGTTTGCTACTTGCTTTGGCGGCAAAGAAGGGATCGGCGGCGTCCATCACATGGACGTTAAATCGCCCTTCCTCAACGGCGAGCTAGCGGAAACGGTCTTCGCTGAGGCAACCTCCGTGGTTCGGCTGTCAGGAGAGGAGCACAGTGCTCCGATCACGTCGCGCTCTACGGGCTGAGGCAAGCCCCTCGAGCATGGAACGCCAAGCTTGACACCACGCTGGGCGAGCTTGTGTTTCAGAGGTGCGCAACCGAGCACGCGCTCTACATGCGACGACGGGGGAAGAAAGAACTCGTGGTCGGCGTGTATGTGGATGACTTAATCGTCACCGGCGCGCGCACGGAGGATATCAATAGCTTCAAGCGAGAGATGGTAGCTCGTTTCCGAATGAGCGATCTCGGCGCTCTCTCCTACTACCTCGGCATCGAGGTGAGACAGGGGAAGGAGGAACTCACGCTCGGGCAAAGCGCATATGCCTCCAAGTTGTTGGAGAGGAGCAGCATGGTGGAGTGCAAGCCATGCGTGACTCCGATGGAGGAGCGGCGGAAGCTGACGAAGGATAGCACCGCGGCGAAAGTAGATGCAACACTCTACCGGAGCATCGTCGGCGGTCTGCGCTACCTAGTCCACACAAGGCCAGACATTGCGTTTGCCGTGGGCTACGTCAGTCGCTTCATGAAGGATCCCAGAGAGGATCACTGGGCTGCGGTAAAGCGACTACTACGCTACGTCAAGGGGACGGTGAATCATAGAATCATCTTCCCAAAGACTGGGGGAAGTAGGCTGCAGCTCACGGTGTTCAGCGATGCGAACATGGCGGGGACATCGGACGGACGACGGAGCACCTCTGGCGTACTTTCGTCTTCTCGGTCGGCCCCAATTTCATGGTCGTCATTGAAAGCAGAAATGTGGTAGCGCTATCTACGTCGCGAGGCGATGCGTGGCGACGGCCACAAATGGCGTGCCAAGTTGTTGTGTGGCTACTCGGCCGTGCCGAGTGAGCTAACCGGCGTGGAAGCTCACCCACCAAAGACCGATGGTGGATAACCAGCCCGTCATCGCCCTCGCGAAGAATCCGGTTCTGCGGCCGAGTAAACACATCGACGTGAAGTTTCACTTCCTCGTGGATTGTGTTGATGGAGGGCGATCGTCATCGAGTTTGTCGAAACTGGTGGCAACTCGCGGACGTCCTCACCAAGCCGCTTTCGAAGACATCGACTCACGGAGTGAAGGAGATGATCGGCATGGAGGGGTTACAAGGGTTAGCGTAAGATTAGGGAAGATTGTTAGCTAATCTCATCGTCACCTTGTGAGAACACAATGAGAGGAAGACGGCGCCGACTTAGCTGTCTGCCGTGTGTGAACACAAAGAAGGGAAGGCGGCGCCGACTTTGCCCCTCACGTGTATCTGATGGCAGCTGAGTAAGTCTGTAAGCCCAAGACGGCTCACCCGCAAAGACCAGAGGAATAAGCGATGGTAGGGCGCAGAAGTCGATCTGTCGAGTTATCTAGTTACTGTGCCAGCATGGACGCTGCACATGGACTAGATAGTTAGAGTTGTATAAATAGACATGTATGGCAACTCAGTAAAGAGAGCTCAGATTTGCCATCACACAGACAGGGCTTCGGCCAACGCTGTTGCCTTGTATTGTGCGTGCTTGCTCTATTCTCCCTTTCTCTTCTGGCTCGATCCATAGTGTGTGGGTACGGACAACACCGGTACGTGGTCTGCACGGTTAGTGGGTGCTCGGCAACACTAGCGCGTGCTCGGCGAGAGCGACAAGTGCTCCACTCGTCTGAGCCGGTGTTCGGTAAGATCGGCTGAAGTGGTTCAATGTCGTGAGCCGGTGATCCTATGAGACCAACAGAGTGGTCTGGAGGCTATCCTGGTGGTCTGAAAGCTATCAAGTAGTGGTCTAGAGGCTATGGTCGATGGTCTAGAGGCTATCTGTAGTGATCTGGAGATCATCTCGATGGTTAGGAGGTAACTGTAGGCCCAACACTCCTTAATGATTCCCCCAAACAAGCAGTCTGAATTGAATTTCTCTGGAGGAGAGCGAGCGATGATGCTCGTGACTCGATCGTGAGAAGGAAGGAAGAACCTGGAGAGCGGGTGGGGCCGTACATGTCCAGCTGAACTCGCCGTCGTCCCAAGGCAGGCTCAGCGCCCTCGCCGACAGCATGTAGCACTTGGCGCCGCTCGCCTTGTCCAGCCACATCCTCTGCACACGTACAAGGTCGATCGGGCAACCATCCACACGACATCCATATCCAGCTCAGCACGTACGTGTGAAGGTGTGATCGATTAACCATGGGAATGAAGTGAACGGAAGCTGCAAGCGGCGGCGCCGGTGCGGCCTTTCATTTGTATGATGGATGATTACCATGGCGTTGCCTTCGCCGTCGACGAGCACGGCGCCGGTGTCGCAGAGGCGGAGGTAGGCGTCCTTGCTTGCCGTCGACTTGTTGGTCACCGCCGGTCCCTGCAGGAGGAAGCGGCGCCAGACGTGGTCGGAGTCCGCGGCGGCGCGGAAGGCCGGGGAGACAGCGGCGCAGCGGCAGGCGTCGCGCGGGGAGGTGAGCGCGATGGCGTGCGCCAGGCAGACCTCCGGGAGGTCTCCCACCTTGGTCACCTCCTGATTTCCGGCCATCGCCGATTCGCCGCCGTATGGTATTGGTATATGTTTCCTGCTTTAATTTGCCGTATGGTATTGGTATTCGGCGACGATTATATGCATGCTGCTTTGTGCCGTGGTGACCGAAAATGAAATGACCAAGCGTGTGATCGATCTCAGAGCACAGTATGAGCAGTGGGTTGATGTCGTTGTGCTTCTTCCTCCGTTCCAAATTATAATTCATTTGACTTTTTTTACCCTAAATTTAATCGCTCGTCTTATTAAAAAAATTTGTGCAAACATAGTCAAATTTAAGTCATTTCTGAAAAACTTTTAAAGCGAGCCACGACAAAACAAGTGATATTTAGCATAAATTTTTGAATAAGACGAGTTGTCAAATTTTAAGTCAAAAAAGTCAAACGAACTATAATTTAAAATGGATTTAGTAGTAGAAAACGAATTCCGTTGCACCTCGTGCACTACTAGGTGCACACAATCTGGAAACACGTTGCATATTAAATGAATAAAACTTGGAAAAATGAAAGGAAAAAAAAAAGGCTTGTTCGCTCGTGCCACGGAGACCAAATGCGAGCTTTGATGATAGGAAAAAACTCATTCGTTTGGATAGATGACCCCCTGCCTCAATTCGGCAACTACTTGTAAACGATGTAACTATCTTGTCGAATGAATGAAGCTTGCTGCGAGAATTAAAAAAAACAGCACAGTATGAAAATATATATGCTGGGATGGACACAGTATGAAAATAGTCTATAAACATCTATACGCATGTCCCCTTGGCCTCGGCGGAAACACCGTGCCAGGAGCCAAGGCACTTTGGCGGCGCGGTAGTGCCGATTTTTTTTTTTAATTTAGCCTCTCTCGTTTTTTTTTTTGTCAAAATTTCACATTTATATCCTTGACGTCAAAAACCTATCTTTGGACCCTGAGCTCTGCGTCGTAGCCTACGATGCGATGCTTGAGGTAATACATCTCGACATCAAAGGCTATAGTGCCGAGGTTGGAAGTCAAGATTGTCGTGGCGATGTGACACTAACGTGGCCAAAGCTCGGCACCACGATTCACATGCACCAAGGCTTGACACCACGATCTATGGCGCCAAGCCTCGACGACACGAATGGTGACGCCAAACTCTGAATTTAACCCTAGGCCTAATTTATCATGACTTGGATAACCTAAAATTTTACCATGAGATGGACATATGCACACACCAAACACGTGGCTCAGGAAGCACTTGTCATCATACTACATGTGCGTCTACAAAGTTACCAACGTAACGATAGAGTTTATGCAATAAAGTTTTTAATGACCAGGGTGGCCTACCCTTTAGTGCTAATTAGATTTCTGATACACCTATTCTCCAAGTAGATTGAACATTGAAGAGTAACTTGTCAAGTTAAAATTACAACCGTGGTGACAAAATTATTCCCCTAGAACAAAAAAAATCTGAAACAACCTATAACCAACAACGAATATCAGTGTAGCTACATCTATTTTTCCCTCACTGCTAAGTCAAATCCCTAAACAAGATTTCTCTACAGAAAATCGATAGTATAGTATTTACATTATCAGGGCCACATTACCAACCTTCTCAGGTAGATGACCCGTGACAAACAACCAATAAAGGCTTTACAGGTTAGAAGCATGCTCAACAATGCACATTGCCTTGACTTAGCAGCTTTTATTTATTCTAATTCAAAAAAACACGGTACAAAAAGTCAGCTTCTATTCCAAAAAGAGATGGATGTCTATCCCATCAGTCAGCTCTTAGTCTTAAGATTTCCTTCGCTGTCCTCTTCCTAAAATATTCCATGTGTTCCTGCAGAAAGAAACAATTCTTTTGGGTAAGTATCATCCTACATAATCACACCAAAACAGACAGATCTTTCAGGTCGGCACGTGGTTATACTATGTTGATAACTAAAACAAGCATCTTCATGCAGGTAAAAGGATCACATGGTTAAGTGCTAGACATCAACCCAGTCTGCTCAAATTTTAGTAAGCATGTTCACCCACCTGACTAAAAGACAGGGGCAGTCCTCTGCTGTGGAAATCAATGTACTTGAGCATAAACATACCGCAGTCCCACCTGTTACATGAAAAGGTCCTTATGTCACCTACATTTCCATTACATGTTACAATTCAAAAAAAAAAAAAAAAGCTTGTGCTAGATAAAGTTCTATTTTTGCATCTTTCTCCATCAACACAACTCCATAAGTTTCCCTATTAGTACTTGGGTCACAGAAAATACTCTACATATGTCTAGTAGAAACCACATTCAGTGGAGGTATGGAAAGATTTTGGTGTGGCACACATCTTAGCATGAACTACTATTTCATAAATAAAATGTAGTCGCACAATCACACACACACACACACCTTTCAATTTAGGAAGACGCGCGAAAAAAAACCCTTCAAGTTCAAACTATATATGTTGACAGTACTAAAAATGAGATACTGAAAATGACAAGACCAAAGTAAAATGGAACAGCATCAAAAGTTTTTATTCACTTAAAACTACCCATACTGTTGCTTCTAACACATTTGACTGTATAGTTAAATTCTATGGGTGCGACGAAATTCCATAGCTCCATCAAATACATGGAATGAATTCATAAAAATTGCACTAAGTTGAAGTTATCTAAGCAAGGAAGCCACACACTAACTAGCATACTGAACAGTACATGAGTTAGAAGGAAAGAATCATCATTACTATAAGCAAGACATACCCATTCTGCTGTAAAGGAATATCATCAACTGGCTCTTCATGCCACGAACTGGTGTTGATTACTCTGTTACTTTTGTCCTTCACTTCCTCTGAAATATATCGAGCCTGCAAATGTAAAACACATGTATGACACCATTAACTCACCAAGCTGATTTAACATACAAGCCTACCAACATATCCAGCTCATTTTTACTTTGATTTAGAATAGATTGGGTTGGAGAACAAGGACTAGAGGTCAGACTGGGCAAAAAAACCGAGACCGAAAAACCCGAGATGGAGACCGAACTACCCGAATTCTCGGTCTTTGGTTTTCAATTCAGTCACAGGTTTCCATAGACCGATCTTTTAATCCATTGTTCGGTTCCTTGTCTCGAGTACCCGAAACACCGAAGTACCCGACCTCCAATATCTATCCCTCGTATATCACCTGCTGTCCCTATCTCAAAGCATCAAATCCTATGTCAGGCAGGCTGAGCCCATCCTGTCATGCATCAACACGCAGGAGCGGGGGCACAGGTGAACAATGCCACCGCCCCAGGCCCCCAGCAGCACAGCGATCCATAGCAAGCTAGCAGCACACGGCGGCTAGGCGCAGGTGCACAACGACGCCAGCACGCAGCAGCACAAGGGGGCAGCCTTGAAGGGCGAGCAGCACAGGGGCACTGCCGCACCAACGGGCGGCACAACGTAGCGTCGGCGCCGCATTGCCCAGGGGACCGCAGCAGCAGCACATGATTCAGGTGAAGACCGCGCACATGAATGCTGCGAATCTAGCGGAGACAGCAACGGGAGTCTGTTGCTGTGTCGCATGTCGTCTTGCTTCTCAGTGTTGTTCGGTTAAACCCGAGAAACCGAACCAATAGCTCAGGTTCCCGAAGCGTCGGTCCTTCAGTCATCGGGCACAACTTCAGTTCTCATTTTGTAAAAACGAAATAAAAAAGACCGAAAAAACCGGACCGAAAATTCGGTTAAAACCGAATGCCCACCCTGAACTAGAGGTATCAAGGACCATGTGAAAGTGCATAACAGATGTGCCAAAGTCCATAGCCATCTAAGTCTAGCAATTCACCAATTTTAACGAGGACTGGAGATGCATATTAATAGAAAGAAATGCTCACATAAATAAGGAACAATAGCTGTGTAGTTAACAACACTTCTCAAAGAATTAGCATGCAAGAATATAAGATCTAATGGGCACAGTTATCTTGCTGTCAAAGCTGGAATTTATTTTTAGGCGAATTTTTATTCTGGACGAATCAGTTATGCTTACCAGTACTCTTGGTACATTATGATCCATGCCACCAAGGGAATCAAGATACTGAAACGTATTTTCCTTCATGTTTATAATTTCTAAACACCAATGTACATCTTTATGCACAGGGACAAATATCTATAAAGAAATTCAGAAAGCACCATGAGATAAATGCAAGCCAAACAAGGGTGGGAACAAGTAACAAAAGAAAAAGAATGTAACATTTACATTACTTTATCGCATTCAATGAGTTCATATCCCAACTTCTTATGGGAGGTCCATCTTTTAACAGATTTGTAGTCATAACCATTTTTTCCACAAGCAAGCTGAGCAACATTCAGGAAGTCAGTAAGGATCAACATTCATAGGGTAACAAATTTTGTCCAGGAATAAAAACCAAAGGCACAAATGCAAGGCAGAAGTCCATTTCATCAGTGGAAAGGGGTTTAAACAAAAGTGAATATAGCTGATATACAGAGAGGTCCAAAACGTGATTTCATTAAATACAATTTGGCTACACCCAAAAAAAAACAAAGATACATTAAATACATCGGTATACATTATCACACAAAAGTGCAAATCAAGATAGTACAGTCTAAGGAACCAAGAAGGCAAATCAAGTAATAATAATGCAATATAAGGGGTTTGGGTAGATAATACAATCTAATCTAAGGAACCAAGAAGGCAAAGTGGCAAACAACTCAGAGATTCAGGAGGGCACTTATATCTAATTTCTATATCTACAAATGTATGCCACCATGGCAAATATGTAACCAATTTTCCTAATTATAACGACCACATAACATTATAGATCGGTCACATTAAAACTATAGCAACTACCATGTATATATAGTAATGCAAGTTTGTAACTGATATGGATTTGTGCAGAATTAGCAGTCAAAGGTACAACTTGACAGCTAATTCTCCAAGCGCTACAATATCCACACATTCATAAATAAGAGGGACTAATACTCAAAGTAATATATGAACCACCACAAAACTATACTATGATATGCTACCATTCAAACTTGATTACATCATCTATATTTCTTATAAGAACTAATACTGAAAATTCAGATCAACAATTCAACATCTAGTTCATGAAGAAAAAAACAAAAAACTTCTTCAGGGAGAATATATGCAAATACATGCCGATCTTAGTATGGAAAAGAGATGTAAACATCCTGCAGATGCAATAATTGAAGCATAAAGAAGAATACAATCTAACCTTCTTATAAAAGAATGTATTAAAGAAATGGCATTTCAGAAACCTTTTTGGTTCTCTTTTCTCTCTCTCCTTCAACAATTCAAGGTACAGGTTAATAACCTACAAGTATGAGAAATATTTATCATGATCAAGCATGGAGACATGTAATCACTCACACTTGTCAAGGATAGAATTAGTGAAGTGTGTTTAGGATATACAGCAGGAGTATGACCTCATCATTTAACCAGCAATGGGGTCTCAAGCACTGGAATTTCTCTTTGCTAATCTCAATGTTAGATGGTTCATGCAGCACTAGAACTTTGCTACTGAAATGAGGAAACCAGGGCACTCAATTAAGCTTATATGGTATATAGAAAGCTTTAAAAACATGCAAGCAGGGTCGTGAAAGAGTACCTTGGGCCTCTACTGTAGAAACAGTCATGAACTTCATTTTCCTCCTCAGCAGTGAGAGGTTTAAATAGTTCAGACAGATCCTAGAATAGCCAGTAGTTAGATAAAGCATAGAAAATTGGTGCAGAGCTGCCATCAAACATGTGCATAAAATGGTCAGTAGCTTTTTATATAGGCATGCAGTTTCATCTAAACCTTTATAAAAAAAAAAACCATTCATGCCTCTTTCTAAGTTATTTATCAATTAAAAGACCATTTAATCATAGAATTGTTCAATCTTGCCGCTAGAGACCATTTCAAAGCAATCCATTAAATTTTCTATTCCAGAACACCAATTCCATATAAGCCCCATTAATTCAGTGCCAGATGGAAACTTGATCACTCATTTTTTTTTTCTTCCAAGTCACCTAGCATGACAATAGCAAAGCAGAGTATAAAAGGGTCAAATTACCTCCTTGACAGCCTTGTCTGACTTCCGTATCTCAGAAAGCTTCTCCTCTTGGAACTTCACATCGATCCTTATTTCCTCCAATCTCCTATTGTGCTGTGTCGTCGTCGCCTCGTATGCCTTCTTGTAGTATGGCACCCTTTTCTTCCACTGCTGAGGAGGCTTCACCGCCTCCGCCTCCAACGTAACCTTCCTCGGATCCGTAACCCTCCGCCGGTCCACAAAAGGCAGTCCAGTCCCCGCCTCCTCATCCATGGCCACCGTGAGATCCTGCCGCTTGCGGACCCAGCGACTGAAGAGCCCCCGTCCGTCATCACTGGGCCTGCCAAAGACGCTGGAGATGTAATTGCCCATGTCGAAAGCGAAGGACCTCGCCTCCGGTGGTAGCGGCAAGAACAAGCGGCGGAGAAGCTGGCTTAGGCGGGTGTGGCTCTGCGGGCCGTGGAAGTGGCGGGGCAGGGGGGAGGCGTCGAGGTGGCGCTTGCGGCGGTTGGGGAAGAACGCGGGAGCCGAGGCGGTCATGGCCAGCAGGAGACGGCTAGGCCATGGAAGGTGGTGGCTACGAGGGGATCATGCCCGGAGCGCAAACCCTAGCGGGGGTTTGGTTTGAGCCCGAGCTCGCGGGGAGGGGAGAAGGCGACCGGCGGGGCGGGAGAGGAGACGACGGGCAGACCAGACGGGCTCGGGCACCCGATGCTTTTTTCCCCAAGAGACTCGAGAATTGGGTAATTGCAAATAGGTCCTCGATATGGAGGGGACGAAAGTTTTTCCTACACGGCCCGTGAGGCCGGCCCATGCATCACATCACGCGACTGTCAACGGTCACTCCTTCGTGGGCTCGTGGCTTCGTCCCCTCCTCCACGCTTGGGTCCGAAGTCCTCCTTTCTGGTTGATTTTTGCCGATATTTTGTTGAATTTTCCTGTGCTGGTGATCGCGACTACATATAGCTGCACCAGAAGCGCCATGGGCGGAGGACGGACTACGAGGAACGGAAGCGCAAGCGCGAGGTGAGTAAGCTCTCACAGCAGGCCAATCTCAAAAAAAAAAAAACTCTAACAGCAGGCCCATAAGGCGCGTTGCGGCCTTGCTGGTGCCCGTGGCCCATAAGTCCTCCTCTTTCATTATTTGGTGTTTTATTTGTTCTGCTAGAGTGTTGGTGATGCTCGCTTGACTTCGTGGTGGTGTAGCTGCTCGGTGCCAATGGCAAGAGGTTTGCGTGGAAAAGGTATGCTGAGAAGGCACAGGTGAAGAAGACGTAAGTGATCCTCTTATTCTCTGTTGTGATTATGAATCAGGGAGTGAAACACGTTGGAATTGACGGGATTAAACAGCTCAAAGGATGGCACATTTAGTCTTTGTGTAGAAAATCACAAAACATTTATTGATTCGGTCAATTCAATGTACCTAAAGCTACTGATGTGATTTAATGGAACTAACACGTGATTGATGATTTCATATTCTATTTGGAGATTCAAACTGCAGCACGTAGGATCACGCTCTGAATTCGAATTAATATATATAGGCTTCTTTGGCACAGCTCCCAGAGTTGATTCTCTGCTGAATTCAGCAGGAGCTCTGTCAAAAAGTTTTTCAGAGAGAAGTGATTATCTGAAATGAACTAAGAGGCTAGGAGCTGAACCTAGCTCAGGAAGAGAAGGTGCAGACGATAATTGTTAGGGAATTTGATTGGTTTTTTGAGAAGGGTGCTGTGGACAATGATTTTGACACATGCATGTTTGAGGTGGAGGACGATGCAGACGAGGATGTATACCTTGACTGCGATGACATATCCCATCAGATGATGATGAAGTAGAGGGTGAGGATCAAAGGATGATGAAGTAGCAGGTGAGGCAACGAAGGAAGATGAAGACTATGACATGTCAATAGGTATGGACGATGAGTACAGTTCTGGCCCATGGAGGAGGTAGAGGATGAGTACAGTTCTGGCCAAAGTATTCATGACAACAATAATTGAGATGAGTTAGATGGGGAGTCTTTTGAAGGTCGAGTTGATGGGACACTAAGATTGGAGTACAATAATCAGGAATTGAGGCAATTGAAGGTTGCCCATGTGAAGGTACCAATTGTACCCAATTTCATGGACATTAGTCTAGATGATTAGGCAATATGTGACACCAGTTTGACTATGTTGGCGGAAGCAATACCAACGAGTGAGGACAAGGAGATTAAGAAGGGAACAATATTTGATAGTTTAGAGCATCTCCAGTTTTTTCTCATGGACTATGCCTTTAGGTTTCATAGGTCGTACTATATATGTTACCCACTCCGATAGGAACACGAGGTACATCATGCTTTGCAAGCAAGGATGTCTATGGGGACTATGGGCTCGTTGGCAAAGAAATAGTAAGTGGAAGATTCATAATGTTAGGCAACCTCATACATGTTATACCTGTAAGGAAAAGGGTGCCCATCCACAAAACATGTAACCTTGGGCGTCGTCTCGTCGACATTGTTAGGACCGACACATCGGTTTCTACAATTATCGAATCAACATTTGGATTCACTGGTTATATAGTGAAGTACTCAAAGGCATGGCATGCCAAGAAACATGCCATTGAGTTGCTTTTGGGAGATTGGAAAGAGGCTTACAATTAATAAGTTCCAAAGATATTGAGTGCGATGAAATGCTTCAATCCAGGCCTTAGGTGGTATCCTTACACCGGTTGTAACACCCTAGCTTCTTATAGAAAGCATGTAGTAGTTGTGTTGTTGGCCCATGTGTGGTTGTGGTTATTGTTGGTGGGTTTAGTATCACTTTAGAAGTCTAAGAGAGTGAGGACCAGCTTAGAATCCTTATCACTCCAAATGTAGCACCTCTGGGTTAACACTTTTACACGAAACGAGGACAAAAGTGTAAGAGAGATGATACGCATATGCAGGCCCATTCCACGTGTAGAGCAGATTTTGGATGCATGGTGTTACACCAGTCAGACTCTGATAAATGTTGATGGCACTCCTAAGTGTTCTTCATAGAGTGTATTGGTCGTTCCCTCAGTTTTTTAGGCGTTCAAGCATTGTTGTCCCGTAGTACTTGTTGATAGCACTTTCTTGGCAGGCAGGTACAAGGTTGTGTTGATGATTGCGATAGGAGTGGACCTAGAAAACCAACTAGTCCCGTTAGCATTCGCTTTGGCTGAAAGTGAGAACAGCCAAAGCCCACTACAGTAGGAGTGGACCTAGAAAACTAACTAGTTCCGTTAGCATTCGCTTTGTCTGAGAGTGAGAACGGCCAAAGCCCGCAATACTTGTTGATGGCACTTTCTTAACAGGCATGTACACGGGCATGTTGATGATTGCGGTGGGCTGATATGTATGATTTCTGATTGTCATATCACATGCTACTTACTTTTGCCCAACAACATGCGGATAGTTGCCCTCCTCTGGAGCATCGACGGATGCACGAGGCACTTCACGGCCAACATGTGGACACGTCAGAAGAAAAAAGAAGTGGTTCAGAAGCTCAAGTCTCTTGTGGTTGTTGAACTAAGAAGAAATTCGATGAGACACTGCAAGAGTTAGAAAATATTTTGAACGTTAGGGCCAAGAGGTGGCTTCAGGACTAGATGCAACACAAGGAAAAGTGGGCTCTCACATTCGACGAGGGAGGATGTAGGTATTGTCATAATGAGTACCAATGTGCCCAAGTCGTTTTACAAAGTTTTCAAGGGTATTTGTGTTGGGTCAAGGATTGTGGAGTATATGTTCAGGAAGTGCGACAAATACTTTGTGAATCGTTGGAACACAACTAAGTTGTCTAAAGAAAAATGGGGAGAAAGCTAGTAGGGTGCATTTGGAATTGTAGAAGACGCTGACTTGCGCAATCAAATTGGGCAAAGCCTATGGGCCTTCGAGGAGGCTAGGGTTGCTAAGTAGCTATCTCTCTATCCATCGTCTGGGAAAAACACTCGACACATACGGGTTAGACTTGCTCTTAACTCTTAATGAAGTTTGCTATTATTAAAAAAAAAGCTTCTGCAAAAATGCATTCTCTTCTTCTGATAGGTTGGTAGCCTAGCTTTATCCGTGCATGCTGGAGTTGATTGGTGCTTCCTCTTCTCCTATCCACGCGAAAGGGTCACTATTTTCAACTCGCATGCATTACATGCGAATCGCAATAATTCAAATATAATTTGCAGAGGAAAGGTACAGTCTGCCAACCAGAATGGTCGTAAAGTTTATACTCTTTTTTACCTCAATCTGAAGCATGAGGCGACATTGCCGTGCGATTGGTACGGTGTAATACAACAACTTGTATGGTTGTACTGTTACTATCTTCGCCTCGGCCTGATCGGGGCAAGCTATAGTATAGCTCCCCACGCGCCACTTCATGCCTAATGAGCACGTCTCCCTCCCTGCCTCCCTGGTCTACCATCGTTGGCAGAAACCGATCGTGAAAGCCATGTACAGTTGTTGTTGTCACTCAACATATGTCCATGCACACATAATTTGTGAACGCCATATGCTCTTTGTCTTTTGGAAAGATATTGCTTAACGAATGTGGCCAAACAACCACATGCAAATCAATTGATAAATGTGTAGAGTTTTATTATGCATTTTTACAGGGAAATCTAAATCAGTAGCATGAGACCAGAAAGTGGAATCTCGACATTCCAAACTGAGACCACTGAAGCCATCACGTTTTTTTTTCACCAACAGAGACCAAAACTGTGCTAGCAATTTACGGTCACCAAAATAGACCATATTTTCGTGCATATAATAATCAATTTTATATTCACTTTATATCTGGATACTAAACAAATCTGAAAGATCCGATATCTATATCTATTTTATAATTAATTAATAATAATATAGATATCTGTATTTATTTTAATAGATGCTAAATAGATGTTTCTAAATCTGTTTCTTTTGATTTTTTATTCAATTCCTCATCTGGATTAGAAAAATAAATATCCAACATTATCTATATCCGCAAAGAACAAAATACCCAATAAAAATATCTATAACTTATATTTATAACTAATTCACAATGTAAATAATAGTAATTTTAATATATGCATCATTTAAACTACTTTAAAGTTATCTATGTAACTAACTACATCATGTTAATTTTAATATTATTAATGATATATAAAGGTTAATTTAGATAAATTTAATATAGATAATCATATTAATTTTAAATACTTTAGTTTATTTATATATTTATGCAATTATTTGTATATATTTAAATTTATCAATTAATAAATACGTATATGTTAAAATATTTATCTGTATTTATTTATTTTTATATATTTGAATATTTATTCATATATATGCATGTGTTGTTTTTGTTAGTTGTTTTTATTTATATGTATTATATAGTCAAATTTTAAATCCATAAACGTAGAATGGTTTTATTATACTATAAAACTATCGATGACATCTACTATCTTCAAAGTCAAATAGACATCTAAATGCGAATTCGATAACATCGGTATTAGTATCTTAATTAAATTAAAACATAATAAATAATACTATTCAAATTTGATTCCCTACAAATCTT